TTTATCTTAAGAGCTATTGTTCTACTTTTTTCGCTATTTGGTTCGTTATGGTGTCGAGTCTTGTACCAAGGAAGGATTTTTTTCTGTACCGCTTACAAAAAAAGTTATTGTAAAAAAAACAAAAAACCGTTTTTTACATGTTCCATAATTTTTCACTTTTGCCGTTTATTAACGATCCTAGAGATCGTTTATAATTTTGCATTGCTATCTGTCGCCTGCCGGTTGGTCTCTCCGTCTGTTCCTTTGTCTGTTTGTCCATCTATCTGTCCGTGTGAACGATAACTTTGTTTAGAAATGTTCGATCGCTTTTACATCTCCGTTAGTTATGAACTGAATTGCATGAAATTCAATATGGGCAGAGATTTAGCCATATAATACGCAATGCCAAAAGTTGGATCGAATCGATTCAAAATTCACAGTGCCCTTTTCGCATCTCGACCATTTATAAACCGAATTGCAAACTTTTTTTACTTATAAAAGTATTTGAATGAAATTTGATACATAGGCACTTGGAATAAAGGAAAATCAAACGCCAATTTCAAAATTTGGTTTTGCCCATGCGCAGTGCCAACTTTTTTATTTATGGAAGAATTTAAACGAAATTTATCCATAGGCACTTGGGATAAAGGAAAATCAAACGCCAATTTCAAAATTTGGTTTTGCGCATGCGCAGTGCCAACTTTTTTATTTATGGGAGAATTTAAACGAAATTTGATACATAGGCACTTGGAATAAAGGAAAATCTAGCGCCAGTTTCAAAATTTTATTTTGCGCATGCGCCGTGCCAACTTTTTTATCTATGGAACTATTTAAGTGAAATTTGATACTTAGGCGCTTGGTACAAAGGAAAATCTTAGTTTATTAGTTAGTTATAGTAAATTAGTTTTAAAATTTAGGTTTGCGCATGCGCAGTTCCAACTTTGTTATATAGAAAAGCATTGAAATGAAATTCTTCTCATAAACTGAAATTGAAGTAGCACGTCAACAATGGATTGCCCATGTGCAACGCTATCTTTCATATTTGTGGCCGAATTTTTACGATTTTAACAGAAGTTGCATCTTACAAATGGGAAATGAATGCAAGTGGAAATGCGCTTTATGTAAATCGTTTACGATTACTTTTTAACTTGTTCTAATTGCGGAGTGTTCAAATCGACATAATGAACACTATACTCGTCACAGGGAAACCTACAGGTTGTAGTTTCACGCCGAAATCAAGTAATATTTTTTTAAATTAATGTATTTTATGGCATAATGGGAAGTCATGTAATTGAACCGGTAATCTTCGTTGGATCTGTAACTGCTCACCATTAGTTACAAATTCTCCAATAAACTTTCTCGACAACGTATGTTTCGAAGAAAGGGTTGGTTTATGCTACCTACCAATAAGCTGTCTGCTCTGGTCACAATTCACGAATTATGTACAGTACATTAAATTATAAAAGTAAGTACTTAATTAAAAAATAAAAGCAAAGTGGAAGTAGCTACCACTACAATAATAATAATAATCATCAATGGCAACACGTTGTCTAAACTAAACTGTCTTGAAGTGTGTTTCACTAATAATGGCCAGTATTTTAAACATCTGGTGTAATTATTTTCATTGTTTTGTTGCCTCGAATAGTTTTTGTTTTGTTTTTTTTTATTCGTCACAGACTACTTGATTAAAATACAAAAACCGTTAATATAACTGGTATCTTATTTTCAATCTTATGTTATAATAGATCGTTGAAAAGAGAATTAAAAAGTCTATCAAGTAATCTAAAAATCCAATATGGCGCCCATTTAACTTTAGGAAGTTGGTAAATGTTCCTCAAAAGTGACCATCTTGAATTTTTTTTTGACATCAATTCTAAATTAAGCGTATCAAAGACAGTCACTTTTATATAACACTTTTTTTTATATCTCTTATACTTTCGATGATATAAGACATTCAAGGAAATGACCAATTTTAGTTTTTTTGAAGTTACGTCGAATCTATGCGACATTTTGAATTTCCATAAGGAAATTTTAAATAAGCATCCAAAACTGCAAAACATTGCCCATTTAACCAATTCTCTATCTTTAATAATAACAAAGTTACCCATACAATCCCACGCGATCTGGGACACTATACTTGCCAATGTATAAAACCTCTTATTTGTAATGAAAGTGTAATTGCTGATGTTCAGACTCTGCGAGACCAACTCCACATCAAAATGTGACCACTTGCATTGAATTATCCTCGGAATTATCCTTTAAAAGACATAGCATTAAATTGTTGACAGTAGCACAACGTTTTAAAGTAAAGTAAAATAACGTAAAGTAAAAGAAAGTTAGCCGCGGGAAGCCACAAAAGAGTGTAAGCTTTCGTAAGCCATTTTTTAGGTTCTCGAAATCAAATACAGGAAACTAAAGTAACCGTTTACAGAGTGTCGTAAAAAGTGAAATTGAAAAGTCGTGTCAATAGCTGTATTGATATGTAAATGTAATTTTTAATGTTATGAAACAATAAAAATTCCCACACATCCTGATAAAGGTTGCAATTTTGATTCTTCACATTCATGTGGTCGCCATCTTCTGATGATGCACCAAATGCCACCGCAATTCTTCTCAAATGAGGATTTTCTCGTGGTTGGTCATCATTAATTGCATTTTGGTCTTAAGGTAAGGAATAAGAATCTCCGAAATGTAAAGTTATTATGACAAAATGGCGTACACTACACGTAGCTATCCCTGAAGTAAAATGCACATTCCTACTTAAGAAGCCAACAAAATCGATTCGATCTTATATAAGGTTAGTGGGCCTAACCTTCGTTAATAACTCCTAAAATTTAAAGAAACTGTATTAGTATCATCCCTTGAAGACGAAATTATTCACTAATTAAAAGCTTGATTAATTGAATAACAAATTACTGACCGCTTGACCCAATTTCGTTATCTCCGCTCCAAGCGCTGTTTGTTGCCGTTATCTCAGATAAATATTTATCTTTGTGCACGGCTGCATTCCCCGAATTGATATACGCCGGACAGGTCTAGATGCAATTCGGCAGGTATCAAGATTAATTAAAGCAGAACTGAAATTAGAAACCGAAAACAAAAACCCTCCTAGCCAACAAGGGAGTTATTCAGAAGACAATAATACGGCAACGGTTCAAAATTAAATCGGTTAAAACTTCGAAACCGAAATCGTATGCATCCAGTTTAAATTCAATTTATAGCCTCCAACATGAGAGAAAAATTCGAGATCACACAAAAATCCGCTAGCAGAGTCTAGAATGTTCTTGCACTATTTAGAAAGGATTTAGTTGGCTTTAACTTGTTCACCGTTCTTGGACAAATACAATTCTAACTCGTTCCTAATTTACATTGTCAATAGAACATAAAGAAACGTGAAACTCGTCGATATCTGTGTACGGAAACAGAATAAAATGAAGCTATTCAGCAATTTAAATACGTAATAACCCATCAATGAACTTCAACTACTACTACTATCGAAATCGCTACGTGCATTATGCAAAATGGTTTTATAATAATTTCCTTTTGAGTTTTATACGTAATTTTTCAACGTCAGGTATCACAAAATTCCACGCTTTTTATTTTATTAGTAACTAGTGTAAGGGAGCTTTCGTTGTTGGCTTTATCATCCTTCCTTAAGTTGTAAGTAAGGGGAACTAAATAAATTGCATCGTATTAACGCTGTTTCCCAACAATTTCAGCTAAGCGCCACACGTAAAAATTCACTTTCTGTTCAGATGCCGCAAGCTGAAGTGTTCCTTTATCAATTTTGTGTCCAGACGAAGGCTTACTTCCTCTGTACCATGCGCCATTTCATTATAGGTTATTATAGTTTCAATGGCTCTCCATGGGTCGATATTCGTATTTAATGCAAAAGTCAATTACATTTACCCACACTCTGACATTTGTCTAGCTTGAGCAGCTAAAACTAAGTTACACGGTGACTCACTGCTGGTCGTGACAATTAAGATCCCCCAAGACTGCGATACTCCCTGATTACGTTAGAACTTGCATTTTTCTAATTCTCCCCCGGGATAACAATATTGAGAAAGATTGTGTAGTGGGAATCCTGTTTAATACATTATTGGATTTGTGCAGCGACGCAGTGGGCTCGAAATAGGAAAACGTGCCTGAAATATGAAATGAAAGAGGCACGAAGCTGAAGAATATTTTCAAGTTAATTGGGAACTGCAGTACACAACACACAAAGGGGTTTAATGAGGAAATTACTGTAATTTCCGATTTATTTTTCGTGCTATAAAATACTCTCCTCATTTTATCCCACAATGAACATCATACTTAGGGTGGGAAACAAGAATGCGAAATGTAATGGTTACCAAGTCCATTCCCGCATCACAATGCACATAATTAACAGTTCTAGACTGGTAATTTATTTTTCTACATACAATCATGGCTGTAATGGGGGGGTGATAATAGAATTGATGTGTGCAAACTGAAGGAAGTACAACATTCACGTCAATCGTCGTCGTTCTCTGTATTATTCCGCCGCCTAAACAACTCAATTACATTTCCCATGTCTATCTAGTTTTAAAAGCCAGACGTCATTTTTTACCATAACCGAATACATTGCATATGAATGGGTGGCGTTTAAAAATAAATCTGTCACAATTTAACGTTAATCTCTTCACCGCCTCAATGGGATTACAAACATTGCCAATAAATATTCATAGCCGGTTATAAAAATATGAGATGACAGGGTTAAAGCTTTCAATTAATTATAATTTATGTGTCCAACGGGAATCTTACCTAAGCGAAGATGAGCTTTCCCATCATTGTTATGTTAATTCTATTCTTATGGAGTGTTATGCACTTGCAGCGATAAATCGTCGGGTCATCTTCACAAATAAATTGTTTGTTGTTATGTCAGATTTATTAGGATTATAACGCACTATTATGAAGCGAATGGACTCGGTAATTTGGTTGATCTTATAAATGTAAATGCATACGAGATGGAGCTTTTGTGTGTTGAATTGTAAGACACGTGCCGACAATTTTTTCAAGTGACCTTACGAAAGACATTCTTTGTAACTGAGCAATAACGATTTGCTAACATGTGTTTTTCTTTTTCATGTGACCTTCTTCCATCTTCAGGATTACGATGTAAGTATTAAAACTCGTTATTTAACGAACTAGTAGCAACTTTTCTCTACTAATAATTCGATTAATTTGTTGCCACTGTACTAAAATTAAGCTGTTAGGATAAACGTATTATTCAGATATACCTACATTGCGCTAGTATATTTTATGGTTCAACGGTGGGGATGTTACGAGAACCACAGTTGTAATGGTGAATCAAAACTGAAACATTCATGTTTTTAAGTTTTAAGTCACCATGGGTAATTTTTAATGTGCAAGTGAAGATACTAATCTATACTAATTTAAACTAATTAGTATGACAGCCAGATGTTTAAGTGTTTTAAAAAGTTATTTTGGATGCATAATATTAGGGGCCCTTCATAAGATTTTGTCTTTTAAAAGTAGACAGGGAAAAACATACACATAAAGCCCTATGTTTACTTCTTCATGAATATCACTGTATATATTTTATACCTAAATAAATATGTATAATATATTATTCAGTGCAAGTTCAAGCTAAATGTGCTTTTTCTCAGCAAAACATCCCGTTCTCAAATAAAATTTCTCTGTTTATTGCATTGTTTAGTTGTACTACCAACTGTATTACCTTTTACTAGAACGAAGTGAAGATGTTTTGGGCCAGACCTGTGAAAAAATGTACTGTACTCAAGTTTCTCATCAGCGAATCACCAAGGTCTCATTTTAAATGTTTTGCGGATATCATGTTTGCGAAATTAATTCTCATTATGTGATGGTTTTCTCCGTGCATCGGTCTGTCGTCGTCGAACTGGAGAACGAAAAGAGACGGCGATGTTAAATCGTCTCCGATCGATTTCTACGAGCGCAAGGATCAGAGTTATTGAATATGAGCCGGATTGAAAGTCGTGCTTCCGAATGCGAGCTGAGTGTCAAAAACATTCCCCTACCGAAAATTTTATCCGATTCTTCACATCTCGTTTAGCTAATGTATAGGGTGAGTCAACGATTAAGCAGAGTAACTTCATGCCTTGAAGATAAAATTTTTCGATAGAGTACTTTTGTATTATGATATGGATGAATATTCCCCACATTTTAATAATATTTGGATTTATACAGGGTGCGCTCACAAAGCAGGGCGCTAAAATGGTATATATTTCTTAATGGAACCCCGGCTTGTATTTGAATGCATTTTTTAATTCTACGTGTAATTGTACGATTTTTTAGTATATGGTTATATATCCGAAAAACTAGTAGTTTTAAAGATAATTGGATTTTTAAGAAAAATTTGGCATTTGCAAGCGTCAGTTTATTGCCAAAATTATTACTTCAATTTTGATATCAGGCTCTATATCTTTTATCGTGGGTAAAGTAAAACTCAAATAAATACATCTACTAGGAAACATTAAAAAAATAGCTTACAGGGTGTTTTTCTCTCTTTCTCACTTTTTTAAAATGGAACATCCTATATATTTTACTGTCATCTTTTAGGTCTTTACATGTAATGTACATAATAACGAGGCGGCCATGCAAAAAAAGGCAATTTTTATCTACCTCGTCCAAAACGAAAATCATATCGATTAATTCATTTATGAATCAATTTGTTTTAAGTCTAAATACTGGAGTAAAAGCATTTGGCTACAAAACAAATTTAATTTAACTCGTAATGCCATCCAGTCAGTGGCATTAGTTTCATTTTTTAGCGCATTTTCCAACGAAGTTGGTTGCGCTATTGCAGCCCCTTGCATCCCGTCCGTCTGACCGTCTGTCCGTATGTCCGAGGCCTTAACTACTCCTACAGTTTTCAAAATATTTAGTTCGCTCTTTTTGCTTTCGGTTGCGTATAGCCCAGGCACCTGAGCGAAGGAAATTCTTCGCAGGTTGCGCAACGTCAATTTTCTTATTTATTAATATATTTTGTTGAAATTTTCGCCACAGATACTTCTAGAAAAGGCAAACATAACGCATATAATAAAAATCAGATATGCGCATGCGTAGACTACGCAATGCCAACTTTCTTTTAATGGAGATATTTCATGGAAATTTTAGCTAAAGATGCTTCTGGTAAAAACAAACATAATCTGATATTGCAAACATTAGATGTGCGCATGCGCAGTCATTGTATTCCTTATTTATGAAGATAATACTTTGAAATTTTATCCATAAATGCTTCTAGTAAAGAAAAACATATCACATGTAGTAAAAATCGAAAACTACAAATGTCATTAGCAAAGGCAAATAGATCGCATATAGTAAAAATCCAATGCGCGTATGCGCAGACTGGCACCGGTTGCTGATCATAGAAAATGCGCTGAAGTTACTCGCCTTGGGGGCGAAAATCTTTTTACTTGTTTCATATTCACCTCGTTATTATATACAGTGTGTCCCAAATCGGGTGGGATTGCATGGGTAACTTTGTTATTATTAAAGATAAAGAATTGGTTAAATGGGCAATTTTTGCAGTTTTGGATGCTTATTTAAAATTTCCTTATGGAAATTCAAAATGTCGCATAGGTTCGACGTAAATTCAAAAAAACTAAAATTGGTCATTTCCTTGAATGTCTTATATCATCGAAAGTATAAGAGATATAAATAAAAGTTTTATATAAAAGTGACTGTCTTTGATACGCTTAAGTTAGAATTGATGTCAAAAAAAAATTCAAGATGGCTACTTTTGAGGAACATTTACCAACTTCCTAAAGTTAAATGGGCGCCATATTGGATTTTTAGATTGCTTGATAGATTTTTAAATTCTCTTTTCAACGAGCTATTATAACATAATATTGAAAATAAGATACCAGTTATATTAACGGTTTTTGTATTTTAATCAAGTAGTCTGTGACGAATAAAAAAAAACAAAACAAAATCTATTCGAGGCAACAAAACAATGAAAATAATTACACCAATGTTTAAAATACTGGCCATTATTAGTGAAACACACTTCAAGACAGTTTAGTTTAGGCAACGTGGTTGCTACTTCCACTTTACTTTTATTTTTTAATTAAGTACTTACTTTTATAATTTAATGTACTGTACATAATTCGTGAATTGTGACCTGAGCAGCCAGTTTGTTGGTAGGTAGCATAAACTAACCCTTTCTTCGAAACATACGTTGTCGAGAAAAATCCTTTAAGGAAGTGTATTGGAGAATTTGTAAATAATGGTGAGCAGTTAAAGATCCATCGAAGATTACCGGTGCAATTACATGACTTCCCATTATGCCATAAAATACATTAATTTAAAAAAATATTACTTGATTTCAGCGTGAAACTACAACATGTAGGTTTTCCTGTGACGAGTAGTGTTCATAATGTCGATTTGAACACTCCGCAGTTAGAAAAATAAAATTCATCTGTCCATATACTCGGACTGGTAAAACTGTTAGTTTTGATATTCTTGCGGATAAACCACCTACAAAATGTGACCTGCGACAATGCATCAATGGTAATACATTGTGTAAAATAAAGTGAAGTGTCTTGAAATGTCTTTAACTGGATAATGGCATGACTTTTTTCAAGGGGATAGTTTGTAGTTATACCACCATTTGTAGGTATGTAAGTATGGATAATAGTGATGTTATAAAAATCAAATTTTTTTAGACCTAATGCTTATATAAAATTGTGGAGGGAGTTGTAATGCCCAAACCCCACCTCTCATGAGTGCGTCCCTGATTTTTTTAAACATCTGATGTAATTATTTTCATTGTTTTGTTGCCTCGAATAGATTTTGTTTTGTTTTTTTTTAATTCATCACAGCCTACTTAATTACAATATAAAAACCGTTGATATAACTGGTATCTTATTTTCAATCTTATGTTATGATGGCTCGTTGAAAAGAGAATTAAAAAATCTATCAAGTAATGTAAAAATCCCATATGGGGCCTATTTAACTTTAGGAAGTTAGTAAATGTTCCTCAAAAGTAGCCATCTTGAATTTTTTTGACATCAATTCTGAATTAAACGTATCAAAGACAATCACTTTTATATAAAACTTTTTTTTATATCTCTTATACTTTCGATGATATAAGACATTCAAGGAAATGACCAATTTTAGTTTTTTTGAATTTACGTCGAACCTATGCGACATTTTGAATTTCCAAAAGGAAATTTTAAATAAGCATCTAAAACTGCAAAACATTGCCCATTTAACCAATTCTCTATCCTTAATAATAACAAAGTTACCCATGCAATCCCACCCGATCTGGGACACACTGTATATTGTAACTTATTTAACATTAAAATATAAAAATTAGGAAAACCAAGCTATTTGTTTATGTTTTTACGATCAAATTTATTCTCCCCATTTTGAGACTTACTCGAAAAATGAATTGATCAATCTGGTTTTTTTCTTTTTGGACGAGTCAGATGAAAATTGTATTTTTTACATGTCCACCTCGTTATTATGTAAATTACATTTAACTTATTTAAGAAAGAATCGAGGAAGGAATAATATAAAAACCAGGAAACTATCAAAGATGGATATGATATAGGACATTAATATCAAAAGTTGAACGTCTTTGGAGGAGTTAAAATGTAAGATAAGACATAAAAATATACAGGGTGTTCCATTAAAAAAAGTCCGATTTTTCAAAATGAAGTTTTATAACTTTTGACTTAGAAAAAACAATACAGGCGGTTCTATTAAAAAAATGTATCATTTTGGGCCTTACTTCGTGAGCCCACCCTATACAATTCTAAATATTTTTAAAATGTGAAGAACATTGAACCATATCATAATACAAAAGAGCACTCTATCAAAAATCTTATCTTCAAGGCATTAAGTTGACTCACCCTGTACTCTTAGATGCACCTCCTGCAGTCGTCACAAAATGCGGTCATTTTGGTACTGTTTGTACTGGATTTATGCCCGAGTTCATGCCGAAATGTACTGTAATCGATTTGTCATTTGGTTTATTTTATGACTAAAAGTTCCTATAAACCTAAGTCCGCAAACGCTTCGTTACCGATCTACAGAGTGTTACAATTTTTGAGATTTTGAGTTTTTTTCTTTATTATCTTCTGCAGTTTTTGCGATATTTCGCTCAAATTTGAAATATATACGTTGAAGGGATCTACAGGATGTTGTTTTTTCATGGGCCATGTTCAATGTTTGACCCCTGCCATTTTTCTTTGGTGCGCCACTGTTAAATTGTGAAAAAAAGATTTAATTTTCTCGTTTCTTCAGAAACTGTTTGGTCTCTTGTAATTTTTTCGTATCTGGGACGTTATCGAGACAAAAGAATTGAAATCAATTTTTGGTAGTTAGCTAAATGAAAGCATAATTTTTTAAACGGTTCAGTAGGAACTGGATTTATTTGGATATTATCTTGATTTTATTAGTTTTTACACCTTCACGTTAAATCACTCAGTCCAGCTAACTTACAATACTTGGGGTGTTTCACTGTGGAAAGTCAGCCACTTGATTTTCAATAAGAACATTTTCTATGCAAAACGCCTTCCTCCAGTAACTTCTCGAATGAAGTGCTGACGGATATCAATATGTTTGCTTCTTGCATGATATTCAGAATTGCATTAGCAGCGAACGCAAATCTTGTTCGAGTTTTAATCTCAAATGTCTATGTCGGCGATCAACTTTTTTGGCTTAAACCATTATTTTATAACTCGCAACTGGTGCACATATAACCTTAAACCATTTCTCCCTGTTATTTTTCATAATTGTTTAATTTCACTTGAATTTGCAAGTGAGTTAAAACGTTGCGCGACGGTCAACCGTCTCATAGTAACCGATTCTAAAAAGTTGTAAAAAACCGCATTCCTCCTCGATCCATAACAAATAGTGTCTAAGGACAAAATCGATTCATTCGCATTAACAAACGATCTTCTTCGCAAGTGTTTTGCCTAATTGGAGATAGATTATCTCAAATTAAACTTTTTTTTTAGTTTTTGCGTTTCTACAAAATAAATCAAAATACAAATAGACTTGCTTTCATGATTCCCCTTACACGACATATAGGTACAGTAAAAAGAATACAACAACTCAATAGATCACAATTACAGAAGTTGTTACCCGAATTTCGCGTGAGAATAATTATTTCTTTAGCGGATTGCAAATTCAAAGGCATTGCATGTAATTAATTTTACGGGCGTAGGTAATTGCGATACAGCACTCCCAAACGACATTTACATTTGACATAACAATCAGATAGGCTTAAACACATGACAAATGGCGTTTTAGGCTAATCGTAATTTATACGAGATATCGTTCCGTTTGAGTAGGTACCTAGAGCTCTCACTCCATGCGGTAGGTCTTGGGATCCAATACGTTTGAATTGACCAAATAATTTTAATCAACCACATTGCATTATCGATGTTGGTCTAGATTAGCGTGTTTAGTGTGTCTAGTTTTAATCTATAATTATGATACCTACAGCAACGTTACTTATCTAACATGCCCTACGTAAGAATTAAATAATACCCACCTACCAACCAACTGCTCCTTAAAATAAAATCGATCATTATCAATCATTTGGAAGGAAACTAAGCTGAGTAAAAAGCCTGCTTGAAAGATTAATTGAGCCAGAAATCTTTAAGTGGAATGTATAGAGCTCTTTAGATTGCGATTAACATCAATCCTTATGATTTATGTGTAAATGGAGCACCTGTAAAAACTTCCTGTACCCCTAGACAATAAAAACTCGCTATAAGAACATAATAGAACAGCGGAAATAGCTAAGCACTGACTAACGGAATTTCTTTTTCTACAGATACCGACAATCAGCGAGTAATAATCCTAGTTCGAGACGTCAACGACGAGCCGCCGTACTTCATCAATCGCCCCTTACCCATGCAAGCTGTGGTTCAACTCAACGCGCCCCCAAACACTCCAGTCTTTACGCTTCAAGCGCGAGATCCCGATACCGATCACAATATCCACTACTTCATTGTTCGGGACAGGACGGGCGGACGATTTGAAGTCGACGAACGTTCCGGAGTCGTCAGGACAAGGGGAACGGATCTTTTCCAGCTAGATATGGAATACGTATTGTACGTCAAAGCGGAGGATCAGAACGGCAGAGTCGACGAACGCAGGTTTCAATCGACGCCCGAGGAGCGCCTTTCGATTGTCGGCGGAAAACGTGCCCCACAATTTTATATGCCCAGCTACGAGGCGGAAATTCCGGAAAATCAAAAGAAGGATTCAGAGTTAGTATATTGATTTTTTTTATATTGCCCGTCTGTAATTTCACTTGTCGCATATTTATGGCGTTAATTTACATTGAACGAGAGCGTTGTCGATTAATTTGCGTCATAAATTATTCACTGGGTAATCATGTAGATGAAGGGATTTAAATTTATATAGCACGATAAAAAGTAGACGAAGTGGAAAAACATACTCTGTTCCAAACGTATGGAATATCGTGTATGGGAAAACGTTTTGTGGTCATCTGGTCATCTGATGGCAAATAGTATCATGCCTATTTTTATTTTCAAAATAAAAGCGCTCGCTTAGCTACCTATTCCCTTTATATCGATTACATCGCTCCCAGTTGTTTAGACTGTGTGCCCATTTGATAAAAATTGGTGGAATATGATGGAAATTCTGTACTTTTTCCTCCCCAAGTGTAAGCGCAACCACGCTATAGTATAATTATACATATACAACGTAGAGTATGTACTGTGGGAAGAGACGGTAGAAATTGTTCTCTTTTTTTCTTTCCTAAGGACTTTATTCTGTTACCTGTCTGTCTCCCTTTTATATTTTCTTCTGTTTTGCTTTCTTTGTTATGACACATGACATCTCAGGCATTTACATTTTTCTCTTCCTCATATACCTATCTTTTATTTCTAAGTAGGACACTCCACCTTCAGGTCTCCGATTCCGTAGCTAACGTATTCTAGAAATAATTTTGGAATAACGTCGGCAACGTTAAGCCTGACGGTAAGCTCTCTGCTTTTCCGGTGACTGTTTATTCTACTTTAATACCTACTTTATTTTTTTTAATACATCAAGTCATAGTGTACTTAAGTTTTATTCTTACACTATGATCAGGCTTCATACAATATTAATTCATTATTTATCTGCAGCTTGTCCATAGCTCGTTAGAGCTCCGATCTAGGAACAGAATCGTATCTGTCGTAAGTCAATAACGGCCTTGATGTCACATGATTTTTTATCTGCAAATTGCCTGTTATTCTATTTTGATTCCCAATATTTGAGGTTAGGAACGAGATTTTGAAAAACGGTTTTCACTGGCCTTTTTGGATGTTATTTGGTTACTTTTCCCTAAAGAATAAGTCATATCATTCCATTTGATTTTTTTAGGATTTTTGGTCATGGTGTCAAAACTAGCCTCCTGGCGGAGAAGGATTCAACTAAATTAAGTGTATCTATAAGTATTTTTAGTTGATTCTTATTGCCCAAGGAATTCTCATTTCAACGGTACCAAATTTGTTAAAATCGATCAAACCGTTAAGAAGTTATAGCAGGTTATTGCAAAAACATCTTTTTCTACAACTGTCAAAAAAACCTGTCATTTTCTGACGGATTTCGAAACGCGAAGTACTAGATTTTTAAACGGTTAATTAATAAGTAAAGTTGCTATTGACAACGTGCGCGAAATCGTCAACAGTGAAAAAAAGTATTTCGCGCACGTGACAAAGTTGAACTTAAACAGCAAATTTAATTAACAATCGGTTCAGTTGTAGAAAAAATATTGTATATAACGCTAGCGCGAAGTTATTTCGCGCATTTGACTGATATTTTAACTCGGCTTCGCCTCGTCAAAATACCTTCAGTCTCAATGCGCGAAATTGAACTTCGCGCTCTTGTTATATAAATAACTATTGTTTTTGAAATAACTGAGTTTTTTTACGAAAATGATAAACTGGTTCTCTTTAAAAATGTGAAAAAAATTTTTATAGTCCAGTCAAATTATCATAATACCTTGCATCAGTCTCCATAAATACGCAGTGAAGGAGCTAGAATGTTGATATCCTCTGGATCCTCAGCTTCTCAGATGATAAGAAAGTTGTCATCATCTTCTTCTTCAGCAAGATCCACTACCTGTTGCATGGATTGCGAAATCTGTGAATTTTTTCCTTTTGCCTGACCTTGCTTGACAAGGGACACCGATTATAGAAGATCTGTGACAGTAACAGAAAGCTTACTTACAACAAAGAGTAACTCTTTGCTTACAACACTATGGATTGAATAACGCATCATATAAACGTGGATATTTTTCCACTAAAAGACAAAAATCAATATTTCGTTTGCTTTCATTACCCGAAATTTTTAGTACGTCTTCAACAAGTTTATTACGACTCACGACTTACGACAATTCATCGTGCAAATTTGGTAAGTTTAGTTTCTGCGAAAAAAAGGCAAATTTTGATAAAACTTGTAAAACTAATAAATTTACCAATATTTGAAGCGCCGTATCTCGGAAACTATTAGGCTTGCGGAGATCGTTAAGGGCTTAATTTGTCATAAATTTTGTCTATTTCAAAAAACAGCAACATGTAGTGGATCTGCTGAAGAAGAAGAAGATGACAACTTTCTTATCAAGGAAGAAGCTGAGGATCCAGAAGATATCAACATTTTAGCTCCTTCTGTGCGTATTTATGGAGACTCCTCACCACAAAGTCCCCCCAAACGAACAAAATTATAAAAATGTTTAGGAGGTACTTGAGTAAAACTGAACAATTTACGAAATTTTGAAACGCTGTATCTCCAAAACTATTAGATTTACATAGCAGGTTAAGGGCTTGAATTGTCACAAATTTTGTCTAGTTTAAAAAAGTATACGACAATAATTGTATTAAAACCGGTCCTTCAGGAGTAAAACTTACAAAAACCAAAAAATGGTAAGAAAAATGACATATTTTCAAGTGCTGTGTCGCTCGCACAGGTCTTTCAATGTCGAAAACTGGGATTTTTCACATCCATGTTCATCCTAACAATTTAAAAGAAAAAATAGGGATGACATATCTGATGCACGGAATGCCCATTTTTTAGTCTAAATTGACTGTACTATTAGTTTATTATGCGAAATTTAAAGAAAATGCAATTTAAAAATGTAAGATGGCAGTTACGCCCTCTGGTGGTCATGTTTAGAACTTGAAAATATTGTTGAGCGATTCTTCTTGACCGATTTACCCAATAATTTTTTTACCCCTAAGTCATCCGACGAACGGTTCCCGAGATAATATGGCCGAGGAACAGTATTATTGGGTCACCCGGTACCTTCTTCCATCGCAGCTTGTCTCTTATCACTTTTATGCATCTATAGTTCTTGTATTTATTTTGGTCGCTCTTTATTATCGGTACAGGATAATAACCCCCGACCAAAAAACTCTCTCCATTAACCCCCGGAAGACAATGTTATTCAGCAAGTGCGGACTGTGATCATGAAAGGTCGTCGTCCGAGAAATTGCAACGGAGACAGGAGGCAAGTATTGAATTTTGACAGAGAATTTGGAGACGAGGAGCATACCCGCCAAATTCGTACCGAAGCTGCTAACAATGGAGCAGAAGCAATGCCGTCTGGACATCGCACATGACATGCTGGATAATACACACAGTAACTCCAACTTTCTGAACGTCACTTATCTGAACCATATTTTATCATTTCCGGTATTATTCCCTGAGCCGTGATGCTTTCTTATTTCTTATAGTTTGTAATGGACGCCTCCGACATTAGTATACGTTTTTATTACCTTTTTAAACTGTCCCAGTTAATTTCCTTTTCCGGTTTAACAGTAGTCTTTAGGGGAGTTTTTCGAAACAAAAAACTCCTCTTATGTGGTGTTTTTGTCCGTCTGTCCGTTTGAACGAAAACAGACAGCGATGTCAAACCTTCGCCAATCGATTTCTACGAATTCAAGCCTCAAGGAACAGGGCTATTGAATATGAACCGGGTTAAATGTCTGGTTTCCGAATGCAAAAAATTCAAGGGTGGTCATTCAAAACCGTAAGAGATACAAAGTCGATTAAATGAACGCAAATTTGCGTATTTTGGGACGAACTTTTTTTAGAAGGGGCGAAGAAAAAAAGGTTAAATTTCTGAAATTCCTTTGAATTTTTGGTGGCATTATTTGAGGAGGTTTTCCAAGCAAATGACATTTTCTCATCGGAACTTTTTTCTCCTACAAGCTGGCATGATTGAATTTGAAAACCAAAATGTCTGTTTTTAAGGGCCTATATCAGTTTTAATTTTTTTTAATGCGGACGGTCATTTTTTATTTTATATTTTAAAAATGCTCATTTGGAAATACTACATCTATCACACTTTCATGGTTATTAAATATTATCAGTTGGCAATAAAGCCAAATTTACACAAAAAAGTAAGCTGGCTATGAAACAAAAGCGTTCATTGCAATTCCATGGCATGGCATGAGATTAGGGAGTGTTTGCTGAGGGGTTAATAAGACACATTCCTTGTAACGATGAAAGTAGACCCTCCTTTTTTAGCCTTTGTTTGTAAATTGTCAAAACAGTTGTCATGTTGGACATCGCCCTGAAGTTTTGCCTAAAATGTTCAAAAATTTTCCCATAGGATGACGACGATGAGATGGACCATTAGTTTTTCGAACCGCAAGTTTTGTTGAGAAAACATCCAAACGCATTAGTTTGACGACTAACTAAAAGAGTATTCACTTCTACTCTTTCACGTGATTCAAGACTCTTGCATTCATACCTTTTCACTTCTGTTCTCATGGTGCTTGCTGTCGCGCGCATGCCCATAAAGCACTGATGACTATTGATACGGATCGTCCGCCATTTTCTAGCTCTAATTGTTTCACGGTCTTATCCACTTCTTTCCTGCTCAATGGGCATTCCCGACTGAAATGGGCTGCATTGCCGCACGTAAAGCACATCGTACAATCTCTAGCTAAATGTGTTGGATCGTCACAATTATAGCCTTTCTACTGAATCGTTCCTGCTACTGTTGCCGGGTTTTTCCCCTTTCGCTCCGGTATTCATCTGTCTCCACTACCGATCTACGGTTCGTCCTTAATGCACTGTGTTCTCGTTTCATTTAGTCCATCAGCCTCTCGCTCTTGTACTCCTTCACGTCTCCGACGTGATGTAAGGCTCTTGTCTTCATACCTTTCTTTTCACATCTCTTCTCTTTACGCTTCCTTCAGACGTTATTCATTTCTCTTCGCGACTCCATTAGACCTCCTACGTCACGACTTTTTTCCGTTTTCCTCATTCGCCTTCTCTGGTAACGCTTCCCTTCTTTCATACACCTTTATCTATCTTCAAGTTTTTTCCATTACCTAGGCACTTCTTTCCTTCGCACACTCTTTCTCCATTCGAATTTTTCCTACTTCTTCAAATTTTTTCCTTCCGGTTCGCTCACGCGTCCTTCTGAAGCACATTTTTTCCCCTCTCTCTCTCTCCTCCCTTCTTGCATCATATGTCTTACTCACGCCTTGTTCACACAGTCATTACGTTTTTGCCGCGTTCTACCTTTACGCCTCCTTCCTTTGCGATCCTTTCAAGTCTTCTTATATTCACCTCCTCCCCCTACATTTGCGCTTCTTCCTTCTACACCTTTCCCCTTTACATTTATCGTCTATAAGCCTACTTTACACTTTAATTGTTTGGAAATTTTCATAAATGATCAAAATTCATGTCTCATTTAGTAACGTCACCTTCCAATTCCTTTTTTTTTCCTTTTCACATATTTGCTGCTTTCTTCATACACACGTCACACGTCTTTCAATTCTGATCTTCATCTTTCGGATCTTTTCCTTTTTCACGATTATATCTTTAGGCCTCCCCCTACGTCACACTCAATTTCTTTGAATCTCACGTTTTGACGGTTCCTCCATTCATGCTTTCTTCCCTTCGTCTTTCATACTTTTTTCAGACGTAAAACGTATTTGGCTACCAAGACACCATGATAGACGACGAGGTGTCATTCTATCTCAACTCAATGAAAATATAATTAAAACATTACCTTGTATTAAATTTTGACAAATTTTGATTCAGAAGATTATAAAGTGCGAGAAAGTCTGCTCCTAATACAAAGAGTAACAGGAGGGAACAGGAGAACACAATGAACGAGGAGGTCTCTATTATCATTTCACTGGAAATATTTTCACCACCTTGCTCTTCTTTAAATTTTTACAAATTCTGTATAAGGAGAACACAAAAGTGCGAGGAGGTATTTCTACTCCTAATACATGATGTGTCAGCAAACTGTGTAAAATTTGTCTGTTTATCAGGAAAACATGATGAACGAGGTCTTTTCCATCTCAAGAGATATATTTTCAACACCTTATTTTGTCTTAATTTTTCTAAATTTTGAATCAGGAGTATAAGGTGCGAGAGTATTTCTGTTGATAAATACACGGAGTATCAATTATGAAACTCGTGTAAAATTTATCTGGCTCTCGGAAGAAGATAATGAACGAGCAGAACTCTTTCTATCTTGTCTTAAATTTCTATAAAGTTTATAACAAGAGAATATAAGGAGCGAGGGGGTATTTCTGCTCCTAATACACGAAGTATCAGTTAGCAAACTCGTGAAACATTTATCTGACTACCAAAACAGAACATGATGAACGAGGAAATCTTTCCATTTTAATGGAAATATTTTCAACACATTGTCTTGTCATGAATCTTTAAAAATTTTATATTAGGATCATATTAGCGACAATGTATTTTTTCTCCTAATACATGGAGTACCAGTTATCTCTTGTAAAATTTATCTGGCTCCCAGGAGAACATGATGAAGGAGGAGGCCTCTTTCCATCCCAATAGAAATATTTTCAACACCTTACCTTGCTTTAAATTTTTATAAATGTTGTATCAGGAAAATATAAAGGCCGAGGATGTATTTCTGCTCCAAATACAAAGAGTATTGTTAGAGACGGCTATGTACGAAAATAATATAGTTCGTAGTTGGTAAGGTTACAAAGAATAACAAGATTATATAAATAAAAAATAAGTTGCGTTTTGATTTCTTGTAAGAAGAAGCTACTTTTATCAGGGTGTTATGGTACACCAAATTAGTGGCCCCGTTCCTAAAAGTGTTAGTTTTTATCAAGTATCAATTAGCAAACTTGTATAAAATTGATCTAGCTACCAGGAGAACATGATGAACGAGAATGTAATAATTGTGTCTTGTATTGTTTTTTGTTTTCTGCATTTTTCTTTCCATTTATTGATAACTAATAGTTTGAACTATTTCATCGTTGCCGTGTGCGGTACGTAGCGCACCTCCTGTATCTAGTTGTATTTGTGTATGTTTTTATGCCTGTAGGATGCGTTTTTAATTTTTAGGTGCTTTAGTTGTAACAATTCTACAAGATTTTTACCAATGTCTTTTACTATATCCTCACTACTGAATCTACGGATTGTCTTATGGACATTCCTACCTTGGGTCTATGGCGGAGGTACAATGGGACTGTAATTTCTTACGTTCTCGAGAAAATATCTATCAGTTAAAGACATTCTTTTCAACGCGACTTTCATTTATTACTTCAGTCGTAATATGACAAGCTGTCATCTTTAAAAGTTGGGTTTTGCGGTCTTATAGTCATGTTTAAAAGTTGAGGGCTGTGTCCGAGATTTTTTTTGTAAAGGGTCGTAAGGTGATTGTTAAGATCGGCGTCGCGTCGCTATGGCTATGAGTAAGTTGAGCGCTTTCGATAATTGGGGCGTACAGTCTAATATTGAATTAGGGATGTTGTGGTTTATACCTGAAAACAGGACACTGATGTAGCGATGTAGTTCACACATAAAGCCTCGCACCACCCCGTTGTTCTTCTACCTTGCCGTTTATAATTATTCTGATATCTGCGCATGAATTACATCATATCCCTGAATAAATAAACATTTCCAATATTAAAAACTAATATTATTTTAGCATCATATCCGTCAAAGCGAAATCATTCGCCGATAGAGAGATTCGTTACACACTAAAAGCACAAGGTCAAGGAGCTGGCACGTTTAACATCGGTCCAACATCGGGAATTGTAAAGTTAGCGAAAGAACTGGACTTTGAAGACCTAAGGCAGCCCCACGTATACTCTTTGGTCGTCACAGCCACGGAGGACTCCGGCGGATTCTCCACATCAGTAGAGGTACTAAACTACGATATACTTTCAGTAAAACTAAATTTGACTTATTTTCAGTTGACGATTCGGGTAACGGACGTCAACGACAACGCGCCAAAATTTGAACTTCCAGATTACCAAGCGCACAACGTTGATGAAGATATCCCGTTGGGTACAAGTATATTAAAAGTTAAGGCGATGGATAGTGATAGTGGAGCTAATGCCGAAATCGAGTACACAGTCTCCGATGATCATTTTAGCGTCGATCCTAGCGGAATTATATCGAATAACAAGCAGTTGGACGCCGACAACAACAACGCCTACTACGAGTTCGTAGTTACCGCCAAGGATAAGGGGGAACCCGCGAAAACGGGCACCGCCACTGTACGAGTTTACACAAAGAACAAAAATGACGAGGAACCGAAATTTTCGCAGCAAGTCTACACGCCAAATGTCGACGAGAACGCGGGCCCAAACACGCTAGTCACGACCGTTGTGGCATCCGATAAAGATGGCGATAATGTCCGGTTTGGTTTCGTCGGCGGAGGTACCAGTTCCGGCCAATTTGTTATCGAGGAGATTACCGGTGTAATCCGGTTACACGGAAAGTCAATTTCTTTGGATAGGGACAAATACGAGCTAAATGTGACGGCAATGGACGACGGTTCTTGTTGCGTCGACGGCGATAAGACCATTCACACGAGCACTGCGGTAGTTGTAGTATTTATAACGGATGTGAACGACAATAAGCCAATTTTCAAAGACTGCGGGACGTACTACCCCAAAGTTGAGGAGGGCGCACCGAATGGCTCCCCCGTAATCAAAGTACACGCAACCGACGAGGATAAGGGCGTGAACGGTCAAGTGAAGTACTCGATTGTGCAGCAACCCAATCAGAAGGGTACAAAGTTTACAGTCGACGAAGAAACCGGGGAGGTTTCAACTAACAAGGTGTTTGATCGCGAGGGCGACGATGGGAAATTCGTTTCTGTCACCGTAAAAGCAACAGATCAAGGCGAGCCGTCTTTGGAAGGGGTGTGCTCGTTTACAGTTGAAATAACAGATGTAAATGACAATCCCCCTCTCTTCGATCGACAGGTAATCCGCAAAGTGGCGAACTGCAATAATGACATCATTTTAGAAATACGTTGAAAATGTAAAACAAGACGCAAGCATCGGCACAAATATACTAAGAGTATCGGCATCAGACGAGGATGCCGACAATAATGGCGCCATTGTGTACTCGCTGAGTGCAGGTTCGAACGCTTTGGACCTGGAGTATTTTGAAATTCAACCGGAATCGGGTTGGATTGTGTTGAAAAAGCCGCTAGACGTAAGTGCCTGAAGCGTATACTAACACGGGTAGGCTAGTAAATGAGAGAATGTTGTGTGATTGCGAGGAAAATTTCAGTTCCAGGATCTGCAGATTTAGGTACGAGTGGATAGCTGCTTCTTTCCTCATTTTCAGCGCACCTTTGTTTGAGTTGCTCTGATCTTTCGACGGATCAATTGCACTAATCTGATCTTTATTGACTAAGTTCTTTTTATACGGCACACCTTGCATAATGTACTTATTTGTACATTTGATTTAATCATTTTCATTCTGAGTCGACGGTTGCTGGGCGAGGAACTTGTAGGAGCTAAGACAAAACGCTTAGCGGCGTATGGAGTTATTTCCGCCCCATTACAATTGAGTGTACAATTTTTTCGCCGAGCAAAATTTTTAAACGGCAACTAGCTCTATTTTTGAGGCTACGTTGACCGGGTGCTGTATCATATTTTTTTTTAAACATTGCCTGCAGAGAGGTGGATCCGGATTTTTTGAACGATTTTTGAAAGGTTTTTTGAAGCTGTTTTTACCATGTTTTTGTGAGTGATTTTACAGGAGGACTATCTAATTTATAGTATTGCATTTTGGTCACGAGTGTCGTGAGAGGCCGCTTTTTGAAACCCGGGGTGGGCACTCGGCTCTCTTGCGCTGCTCAGACATTGTGACATTTTTGACTTGTGTATGGGGCGGCGTACTAACAATTAACAAACGTCCAACGGTTTTTGAAGGTCGTTTATCAACGAGGACTTTTTGCACATCCTTGCTCCCGCCCAACCAATGTTTTTTGATACTTTTTTTGCATGTAATGCCTGCTTATGATGTTTCTTTTTTATATTGTTAATGTACTATACGTTTGGTTATTTTAATTGCACTTTTCTGTTCTTCGGCGTTACCACTGCCACCGGCAACAGGGAGGTTATCCAGTAAGTAGGTGTATTATAGTAGAAGCGCCGTAGCCGGTGCAACCGTCGATGCAAAAATGTTTTTTCGAATAAATATTCATTTCAGTACTTTATCGGCTGGACTGCTTGGATATTCTCTGCTACCGATGAGGCAGTCTCGGCAGCACCGGGCGGTGTTGTCTTGCATCTGCCATTTAATTTTTTTCATTTCAGTTGTGTGATTGAGTTATTTCTTTTGGTTCACATTATGTTTGATTGAGTGTGTTCTGTTTGGTTTCTCCCATGAGCCCTGACCTGACCGTGCCCGTATTTAGCGAGACAGGTATCGACTGCGTGTGCGAGCCTCGGACAGAGGCGCGCCACCTTCGTATGCGGACGTGGACGTTGAGTTAGACGTCGTAGACAGGAACAATAAGCCGCCGCTGTGGGACATGAATATGTACGGCCCCATTCACATCAAAGAAAATGTCACAGTGGGTACAGTAGTGACTTCCGTAAAAGCCAGGTTGGTATAGAGGTGCTGCAAAGACGGTTCGGCACTCTGAGTCTCGCGGGTGGGGGGTACGCGTAGGGTTATCGGTTCCGGGTGCCCGAACGTATTCCTTCCAGGAGCCTATCCACCTGCCAGCCTGCCCGTACATCCATCACTAACACTTCTTATGTTCCCACGCGTGCTTAGCGAGAAACGTACAAGTTGGAAGCCACGGCCCAAGACAAAGGCTACCCGCCCTTGTCCAGATCCGTGGAAGTACAAATAGACGTCGTGGATCGCGCAAACAACCCGCCCGTATGGGACCACGTGGTCTACGGGCCCATCTACATTAGAGAGAACCTACCGGTCGGGGCTAAAGTCGTTTCGGTTAAAGCCAGGTCTGTGACCATCAGTGTGTTGCTCGTGCGGCAGCACGCCGCTGCACGGCACCGTGGTCTGTTTGTGCACGCTTCACCCGATAAGGGGTCAGCACGTGCCCCCTACCTCAACTCCGTCGGTCCAAATCATATTACTCCCGTAGATCTAGATGTGTAGTCCTCCCACTTCCTAAGCTGAATGTTGTTGATGCCTGCACTACACGCATTCTCACAAGCTTGGGGCATAAGGGTAAATGCAACACCTCAACAACATTCAGCATTCTTCTCTCTCTATAATTTGATTAGTTAAATAAGTGCGCCTAACGTCACAATCTCGTTTCAGAATACAAGCTTTTTTTATACAAACAATAACAAACACGGACGATCTAGAAATACTAACTCAACAAATCGCGTGTCATGTACACTGAAATAAATCTGAACTAATTCATTGTACTGGGTGTCTTACTTATTATTACTCTCATCCCTCTTTGGTTATGTTTTGAGTTCTGAAAGTTTTAGCTATGGCACAACTCTAACTAAAGAAGCTTGTATGAGCCAAGACTTAAGGTCTTGTCGAAAGTCAGGGATTTGCTCAAAGCTTAATTACCTCGTGTGGCAGATTGGCCATAATTAACTAATACATGTTTACGACAGTCGTTTCTTTACCACCACAATTTTAGGTCACCAATGATCCAAAGCAAAGCCAATCCATAAAGGTTAGTGGAGTCAAAATAGGAAATACTGCTCAAATGGTTTAAACATTCCAATATTACTTCAAGTTTTAAATTGTCATTTACTGGTGTAATTTCAACATTGCATTTTGAAATAGCTAAAGTCAAACTACACAAAGGAATTAAGTTCTAATTGTAGTAGGAATGTGTAGGGATCGATCCCTCAAACAACGTAGAATAAAATCCAAATCAGTTCGTCATATCGGAGAAAACTCAAATGAAATATTATTAAATTTGTTAAAACTTTGCTCCTGCATATTTTTGAATTTTCGTGCCAAGCATAAAACATGAGCTTTGTCAGAGAAAGCATTATATGCTTGACCATATTACCTCATTTTATTTATTATTTATGTAAAAAATGAAATAATTAACTGCAGACTTGTGATTTATCTTTAATTCAAATGGAAAGGGTATCAGATTCTGTAGAAAACGCATAGATACCACTTTATAAAAAGCTGAGGTAATGTTGGTGGGATAAAGTGTAAATAGTGGAAATACCAGCTCCTACGGGACCCAAATTGTGTTGAAGGGGGATCAAGTTTGATTTACGGACTTTAATCTCACCAGATTTGATGACAAGAAGTGGTACATTAAAAAAAATGTCATTAACTTTTGCGTTATTTTAATAATTAAACCTGATACAACAAATGATTCTATTTCATCTACAAAAAAATATGCAACTTCGGAGTTCCAATAATAAGAAAGTTAGTAAGTACCCACTTTTGTTGTAACACAACTTCTAAAGGAAATTCAGAGTTTTACAACCTTCTCTTTGATGATATGCCTGTAATATAAAACAGTAAGGCGCTAGGAGAAGAGAAGTATAGCGAAGTTGAGGTTTTTTGGAATTTCCTCCCCTTAAAAGCCCATATATCAAATACAGTTTAGATTTGAATGATTATGCACAGAGGTAAGGTTGAAATGTCTTCATTTCCATCTCAGGAATTTTTTTGCTGCAGGTTTACATTGTATCCGTCTAGGTCATATAGGGGACATAACCCTACGTATGTGTCAACAGTTGGAGCTACGTACAAGTCAAAATTTGCTTAGAGTAATAGAACGTTAAAATGATCAATTAATTGGCCCGTGTGCCTCAGTAAAGTTGAAGTTCGACTGCGGTACCAAGGGTCCCTGGTTTGAATCCGGGTTCGGGCATGGATATATTTGTAAATGTACAATGGATTGAATTGGTAGAGCAACCTTGGATGAAACCCCGCCCACTTAAAAGAAAAGATCAAAAATAAAATTCTTAAATAAGTAAATAGGTTTAGGACTGTTGCTTTTTATTAATACTCATCATTTGGGGGTCATAGATGTTTAAGGCAAAGCCTCTCCATAAAGATTGGTGCAATCGAAATAATGAAAATTTACTTGTAGTACAACTGAATGCCAATCACCGATTTGGGTAGGCTTTGTGAACGTAAAAAGTTTACAAAACAAGAATACGATGAGAAGCAAGCCAGAAGTACATAATCATCTTTATAGTAGTGAAGAGAGAACATTTGTATTACCGCATATAACCTCTAGTTCTGCCTTAGTCCATCAAGGTTAGTGAAATCCAAAACGAAGTACTGGGACTCTCCTTCTTAATGCTGATTACATTAAAGCCTCAGGGATGTGCCACCAAAATTTTATTTTCGTACCTCAAAAAATAAAACGAAAAGAAGATGAGAGTAATTTTAAAGGTGCCCGGTACACCTAAAGCATGACGAAAAGAAAACGCCATGCTTGGCATCCACAGCAGTATTTTTCAAAATTATTTTGCATGATACGTCCGAATACGACCGAATTTCGAGGAATTTTCTTGTTGTGGATGCCTCAGATCGCTGTTAGTTCATATTGGGTAACTTGATGGACTGCATGTGCATCTGGTACAATAGGTTTAGTAAACCATTTTTTTTGGTTTGCATGTGGCTGATATTATTTTTGTAAGCCATGTCAATTTTTTGAGACAATTTTTTGCTTTTTGATACATGACACCAACTAGTCTTTTTTGTAGTTATATAATCGATCGGAGTTGAATAGGGCAAGCTCTATAATAGTCCCTTACCTTGTGTAGTTCTGGAATTGAAAATAATCCAACAGTCTTCTACCGGCTGATGCCCGGCTCAACTTCCCAGACGAATAAGTATCACACGTTCTACCTGCAGCAGAGGCCGGACAACGGATTTACTTGGGCGGATATTAAGGTCAATCATCCGCTCGACTTTGAGACAATAAAAGAGTACAACCTGACGATACGTGTTGAGGTATTAATTTGCGTGCTTTCACAACGTTATCTCCTTATGGGATTTTCAGAATAACGGCGCTCAACAATTAGCGTCCGAGGCTACTGTATTTATAATGCTGGAGGACGTGAACGATGAAATTCCTCTTTTTACTGAAAGAGAGCAGGAAACTGTGCTGGAGGGCGAACCAATCGGCACTAAAGTGACCCAAGTGAACGCCATCGATAAAGACGGCACTTTTCCCAATAATCAAGTACGTGCCGAGCTCTTAATTGCGATCTGTTTACACGTGTTTTATTAGGTGTACTACTTCATCGTCGACTCGCCGCGAAACGAAGGGAAAGATTTCTTCGAAATTAATCAACAAACTGGAGAAGTGTTTACGAAGGTCGTGTTCGATCGGGAGAAGCAGGGCGCTTACGCGCTAGAAGTGGAAGCTCGAGATGGTGCGCCTTCAGCTCGGCCCAATAGTGACAATCAGCCTAACTCTGGTAAGTGCTAGTTGTTAGATCTGGGCGTTTTCGTTTTATACCAGTCATAAATAAGGTCCGCAACAGTAGATTATCGCAAAACACTGTTCTTAAGGGATTAAGCGATTTTAGATTAGTAATTACAATGGCGGAAACAAGAGTTCCTTAAGCCAAACCCTTATTTGATGGGATTGCTCATTATAAGCATTATAAAGCTTTTAAGTTTGGATTTCAACGGCATTATTAAAACCACACAAAGTCTTCTAACTAATGAGTTGGTATAACGTATTCTCTTTTGTTTGTAAAGCGCTCTTATTTACTAAACTTGAGACGTGTTGGAGTAAATTTGAGTTGCAATAGGATTACCCATACTTCATGAAGTCACCAATGCCAACCATAACCATTCGCTTGCTGTGCACTATGGTCTTACCAATGCAACTGAAGCATTTAAAGCGTTTTAAATATTCTCCATAAACGAAACCGATCTGGTATCTGCGTAAATCCAAATACGAAATGAGCCTGCAATTCCTGAAAAATAAAACTGGGCTTTCCTGGTAGCACAGCGAACTCGTATGGTAACGCTCAAAATTAAAACTGAATTAATAAATTGCTAGGTTCCCTGACGCCTTAAAAATCTGGAAAACGGCTTAAACATCATGGTAAATTAGCGCGCTTCCAATCACATTAAACCCAAGCAAATCAGACGAGATTTGCTGCGATACATGTAATTAGTTACCGATAATTATTTTTACTTAATTGACCGGATTAAAATTTCTAAATTCGAAAGTCCAGTTATAGTTCAGTCAAATTGCGGTTTGGGCTGGATGTTGTGACTTCACGTACCGAAATCAAGTTATTCTATGTAAAAGAACTCGCTGAAAATCATACTCCCCCTGTACAGAAAGTCCCGAAACATATTGTTATAAACAAAAAACGAAGAAAAAATTCGAAAATGCCGTTTTTTTGGCATTTGACTTCAATTATCTCGTTAACTGCTCTGAGGAAAAAAATGAAGAGAAATGAATTTGTTTAGAATTCGAATTTTCCATAAGACACAGTTTGTCCGGAACGGTCATTTTCAAATGTTATTGTTTTATGGAAAAATATAAAAAAGTAATCCCGAAGATTAACAATTGTTTATTACAGAGTAAGATTCATCCGATCTTTTTGAAAATCCATATTTGGTTTGATAACAAAACGATATTCTATTCACCGAATTCCTACGATTCTTGAGATTGGTTGATTTTTCCAATTATTTTTCCGATTCTGAAGATTTTTCTGAATTTTAATGTTATCCAAATTCGTTGATAATTGTTCAGATCCTTCGAATACGTCTGGCTGTTTAAATTCTCCGAACTACTTGGATTAATCTTTTGCTGTCAATTACTTTAATTTTTCGGTTTACTTACTCTTATTTCTTCCTCCTCTTCAAATTCTTCAAATTATAGTATAGGCTCATGACAATCTTACATTACTCCTAACTCTACTGATTCTTGAAATTCATGAGACGTCCAAAATATCAAGGTTAGGTTCTCCTGTCGTTACCATGGAAACAATATTGTATTCTGTTCTGAACCTTATTTTATATCGTGGTCCACGTCCCATCTATATAAATAAAAATGAATCGCCGAAATGTATGTACACGCATAACTTCAGAACGACTGCACTAAATTAGATAATTCTTTTTTTATTGCGTTTGGTATTATAAGAACAAGGTTTGTGTAAAAGGTAATTTTCAAAAGTCCTCGTGTGAGATCGAAGGGACTTCAGCGCATTTTTGTGTGGCAGATCAGTGTTTTATTAGCCAATATTGACTCCACCATCAATAAGATCTTGCCGAAAGCTACCACGTTCACTTTGTCGGTACCATTTTCTCACTTACCGTGCACTCGCAATTCGCGTTTGAAGTTTTGACTCCACCATCATTAAAATCCTTTGGGGGTTACCATATTCCCTTTGTCGACACCCACTTCTGATCACCCGCAACAATTCGGATTTGAAGTTTCGACTCCACCATCAGTAAGATCTCGTCGGGGGTTACCACATTCCCTTTGTCGATACACAGTTCCGACGTCCCGTTCATTCGTAATTCACATTTTGGTAGATTTCGCTAAAATCCCGGCATAAAATCGTATTCAACTTTTGGGTACTTCACATAGCTCGACCTTCTATTAGTGACACGAGAAAGAGAGACCGCGATTCGCACTGTAAGAAACTTTTGGGCGCCCAAAGTCGACTACCCCTCGAAGCGCGCCGCGCAAAAGGTGGTTTATTTCGCCCCTAGGAAAAAAAACAAAATTCCGCCACGCAGGAGTTGTGCGCGTTGACAAGATCTTCCCGACGACACCAATTTGAAAACAATCGGAGAAAAACTGTAGAAGAAGATAGATAAAAACTGAAAAATCTCCAGGTTAGTATAATACGCTCGGGGATGGCGTCCAGATGTCGTCGACTCCAAATCTTGTAGCCCCACCCTAACGTTCTTAATTACACGGTCCCGATAGTTACATGTACACTCCTTGTCTTTTTACAAGCGTTTTTCTACGGGCGCGCATTTACTGCCAGCCAGCCAGCCAGCCAAAGTGAGATTAAAAGCTACTTTAAAAAAAAAAAATTTTTTTTTGCAAAAATGCGCTAAAAAGTTGTACGGAAAGATGGAACAATGGAAAGTGCAGTACAATAGATTACAGCCGAAACCTCAAAAAGGTGCACTACAAATAAACGAAATCCACATAGTGGTACTTACGATAAAAAGGAAAGAACGCAAATGCATATCCTCACTAGAAGTACAGGTGAATCCTGTCCAAGAAATTACTTCGGAATTCCTAAACTATGAATCCAATCGCCAGAGATCAATATATTCGAAAGAATATGAAATTCCATGCGATCTACCTCACGCTTTCAGCGACGTGTTCTTTGATACGACTTACGAACCAAAAAGAAAGATGAGAATCGACACCCACAAATCAAGGCGCTGGCAATCGGCGCGGAAATTGCGCGGTTGAATTCTATCAATCGATGGATCCATGTATCAAATCATTTCAAAAGTTACGAGGGTCTTTCGACAAGTAATAGACCGTAAATAATAATAATACTTCGGCACCTTTTGGCGTACTAGAAACATGATGGATTCATTCCTCGTTAGATTAGAGGTTTGTTGGTGGATATTATGGTTATATCACAATTTTGTCACTTACTCACTGTTTGCCAATATATTGCTCGCCTTGCAGATATCAACGAATATAATAGCGGTGTATTTCTTCACCTTATAATTGTGTATGTTGTGCTGCCTATTAAAAGGTTGGGAAGTTGATTAATTTTATCGTTTTCCACCAGAAGCAGCCTGTACGATTTGGGGATAGACAACGCTGAGACCAAATCCGTGTATTTGATTAAATTTGATAAAAAGACAATCTCAGTTTTAATGAACTGTATTAATCTGACAAATGACATAATAGTACATTATATATCAAGGTAGAGAAGTACAGTATTATTGCCTGAGCACCAAGATTACATCTCGAGGCGCTTGCGCCGAGGGATGAAAGGTGCGAAGGCAATAATAGACTTCTCTGCCGTGGTATATATACTATTTTTTTCACTACTAGCGCTTGAAATCCTCTAAATTAACGTATTATATTGATAAGAAAATGAACGGTTGGACAGAATTTTTTGTTTAATAATTTAACATGTCAATCAAGTACGTAGAAGTACAAGTCAAACAGGCCGTATTTTGTTCTGTCATTGAGATATTTTCAAAGAGTAATTTCGTTCGAATTTTTTCAAAATGTGATAATTTTAGGTATGTAATTTCTCTGGAAATGGCGGATGGTGGCAATTATTCATTTTAGGGCCGGTTGTTCAATCACGGTTTAAACTGCAGATTAGGTAATCTGTAGTTTAAGATAATCCACAGTTTATCTTTTATTGCGTTGCTCATTTGCAGTTTAGAGAGAGTTTAACTAAACTGCGTTTAATGAAATTTCTATTGGTGGCAACACTGTAATCCGCTCAAATTTTGACGTTTACGCTATTCAAACTTCAAATTTGGTTTGTTTACAAGCGCGTATGTTGTTTTGTTCGTGATTGAAATAGTGTATGTATTTTTTGTGTAATTAATCGTGGCTAGTAACACCGTTTGGAAATGGAGAATGCTGATTTAATACGGAAGCGACAACGATCTGTAAACTTCAATCCAACCGAAGAAGCGATGCTTCTGCAGCTCGTCAAAAAGTTTCGAGCAACAATAGAATGTAAAAAAACCGACGTTCTTAATAACCGCATCAAAGACGCTGCATGGAACCAACTGGCTGAGGAGTTTAATGCTGCAGGAGGTCAAGGAAGGGATGCGAAAACACTCAGAAGCAAATATGAAAATATAAAAAAGGTTTCAAAGAAAAAATTTGCAAATGAAAAGAGATATTTAAATGCTACTGGGGGAGGGCCAGCGAAGAAAATAATAACGACGGATGTAGACGAGCAAGTAAAGGAATTGCTTGGAACTCAAGTGACAGGGATGGAGTCGATGGTAGATGACGATTGTGAAGGTAAGATTACTTTTTTTCAGTGTACATCACAATGCACTAATGAGAACTCGGAATCACAGAGAGTGATATAGTGGACATTGAGGAGCTGGAATTGCTATCAAATGCCACTGTATTAATGGAGAAAAATACTCCAGCCGCTCCAAAGGCTGATGATGTTATTGTAGTTTGCGATACGCAAAATTTAGAGAATCGACTGATACTACCTTCCACCTCGAAGGTGGATTGGGGCTCACATACTGCTGCATCGCTGCGTACGCCCAGATCAAAGCCGCTAGTAGTGAAGAAAGGTAAAGTTAATGATAGCATAGTTTTTTTTATAAACATACAATTACATAGGAATTACATAAGTAGCAGTAGTTGTAGTTGTACGTTTCACATTTCAATAGATAATCAAATTTAGATAAATGTTTTTATTCAAGGAGAAACATCTTCATCTGGGAAGAAACCTGTTTTGAGAGACAGGATGAATATATGGGCTGCCAATAAAG